GGCCTCAATTTCAAACCAACGACTCAAAAGCCAGTTGAATATAAGTATGGTCCACGATCTGTTGTAATCGGTGACTTCAATAATGATACGGTTTTGGATATGGTTGTCGCCAATCATATAGTCAACAAAATAGCTGTTTATTTGGGAAATGGCGATGGCAGTTTTAGAGATCCAACCATGTATCCAACAGGTTCCTACTCAAGTCCTTACATGGTCACAGTTGGTGATTTCAACAATGACTATCAATTGGATATTGCAGTAGCGAATTTCGGCACTAACAATATAGGCATCTTTCATGGACTTGCGAATGGATCTTTCGAAAGTCAAACAGAAGTTTCAACAGGCTCATCTCGTCCCATAGCAATTATTGCCTTTGATTTTAACAATGACTCACTACTTGATATTGCCACCGCCAATTACGGAACTCACAGTATCAGTATATTCTATGCCTATGACCATGGAAACTTGTCGCCTCCAATTACGTATTCAACAGGTTATGATTCTCTTCAATCTTCATTAGCTGCTGGAGATTTCAATAATGACAACTATGTAGACCTCGCCATCGCTAATTATGGCACGAATAATGTTGGTGTACTTTTTGGAAATAGTAACAGAACTTTTGAACAACAAATCACGTTTTCAACTGGCGTTGGTTCTCATCCGTACTCAGTCGCCGTCGGCCATTTGAATGCCGACAAATTTCTCGATATAGCTATCGCGAACTCTGGAACTCATGAAGTAGGTGTACTTCTGAACAATGGTAATAGAACTTTCGCTAAACAAGCCAACTATTCCATCGGTTCTCCTTCTCCATATGCGATTGGCGTTGGAGACTTCAACGAAGATAATCGATTAGACATTGTCATAACTAACAACGGTATTGAAAATAATATAGGTGTACTTCTTGGCGATGGAAATGGCAATTTTGCAAAGCCATTGATGCATTCAACTGGATCTTCTTCTTCGATTTCCGTTGCCATAGGTGATTTCAACAAGGACCATCGATTAGACATTGTCGTCGTGAGCAATGACACTGGTAGCATAGACATTCTGCTTGGTTATTTTGAGGGTTTCTTAAATCAAACAAACTATCCAACTGGCTCTTCTCCAACATCTGTAGCTGTTGGTGATTTCAACAATGACACTCGACTAGATATCGTTGTCACCAATAGGATTAGCAATGATGTGAGTGTCCTTCTTGGATATGGGAATGATTCTTTTGCAGAAGAAACAAGATATTCAGTTGGCTCTTCACCATACTCTGTAGCTGTTGGTGATTTCAACAACGACACTCGACTAGATATCGTTGTCGCCAATTGGGGTAGCAATGATGTGAGTGTCCTTCTTGGATATGGAAATGTTTCTTTTGCAAATGAAACAAGATATTCAGTTGGCTCTTCACCATTCTCTGTAGCTGTTGGTGATTTCAACAACGACACTCGACTAGATATCGTTGTCGCCAATTGGGGTAGCAATAATGTGAGTGTCCTTCTTGGATATGGGAATGGTTCTTTTGCAAAAGAAACAAGATATTCAGTTGGCTCTTGGCCAATATCTGTAGCTGTTGGTGATTTCAACAACGACACTCGATTAGATATTGTTGTCACCAATGGGGTTAGCAATGATGTGAGTGTCCTTCTTGGATATGGGAATGGTTCTTTTGTAGAAGAAACAAGATATTCAGTTGGCTCTTCACCATACTCTGTAGCTGTTGGTGATTTCAACAACGACACTCGACTAGATATCGTTGTCGCCAATTCTTATAGCAATGATGTGAGTGTTCTTCTTGGATATGGGAATGGTTCTTTTGCAAAAGAAACAAGGTATAAAGTTGGTTCTTCTCCATATTCTGTAGCTATTGGTGATTTCAACAATGACGCTCGACTAGATATTGTTGTCGCTAATTATTATAGCAATGATGTGAGTGTCCTTCTTGGCTATGACTATTTAGTATTTGTAAAGCAAATGATGCTCATAACTGGAAAAGGTTCTCGACCTCAGTCGTTAGTGATTAGTGATTTTAATAATGATGGTCTAATGGATATCGGCGTCGTCCATTCACTTACCCACAATATTAATATTTTTCTTGGATATGGTAATATATCTTTTATGGATCAAGTGACACACTCAACTCTCCCGTATTTATCTCCATGCTCTATAGCTGTTGGTGATCTCAATAATGATACTCGAGTGGATATCGTTTTTGGTAGTTGTAACTCGGATAATGTTGGTGTTTTTCTTGGATATGGCAATGGCTCGTTTGGAAATCTAATGGCGTATCTAACAGGTTCATATTCGTCTCGATACTCGCTAGCTGTTGGTGACATTAACAACGATACTATACAAGACATTATCATCGCGAATCATGACAACAACAATCTAGGTGTATTTCTTGGATATGGTAACGCTACATTTGCAAGTATCATCCTATTTCCGTTGGACTATGGATCCAATCCATTTTCCATTGCCGTTGGAGATTTCAACAATGACAGAAAACTAGATATTGCCGTCGTCAATAATGGAACTGACAGTTTAAATATTCTCTTGCAGACTTGTTAGCCTTTTATTTTGTACTTTATGTTTTTCTATTGGTTACTTGGTTGTAATACTCCTATATTTAGATAGAACTATTGTTTAATCATTCAAATGTTTCTCAGTTCTAAAGATGAATGGAGAAAGAGGACGCATTGAGCAGGTGGGCGTAGGTGTGGGCGCGAGATTAAGGTGAAGAAAAGACAAACACCCACACCCCACACCTACATTTCAATAGATTCATACAGTCTCTAAAAATATTTCAACTCTACGGAAAATCTTTTCTGAAGTCTACGAATTCAAATATAAGATCAAAGATAGTTGGCGGAAAACGTTGTTTTTTACAATCATGTGTTAGTAAATCGATAATATGTATGTAGTACAAGCAAAATAAACATCTATCAATAGATATTTTTTATGATAAATTAAGTAATAAAGAACACCAAAAAGAAAAGAAAACAAAGCAAAATAAATAATTTATTTTGATAGTTCCACTCTCTCGGCAAAAGAACAAACGTAAATAGCCAACTATCAAAAGAAAAAATTGGAAACGAGCCAAACCTTGGAACGATATTGATTTTGTAAGAATTCAAATGAACTTTTCACTTTTTTCATTCAATAGTCTCTCTCGCTTTCTCTTCTCTCTTATTTTATCATTTTATTCTCTCCTTTCTCTCTATTTCAATTCATCCATTACGTGGGAGTTCCATCGACATTCATCCAAATGCTAAATGGCAACAGAATGGGTTCGCTGTAGTTGAAGGAAATGAAGAAGGCAATGAAATCAGTCAACTCTCTATTCCATGGGGTTTGTATGTTGATGATGATCAAACAATCTATGTTGCTGATCAATTGAATCATCGTATTGTGGAATAGAAATGGGATACGACGAATGGCCAATTGGTTGCAGGTAGAAACGGACAAGAAAGTTGGTATTATCAGTTATCCAACCCAAGATATATGATTGTCGACAAAGAGAGAGAGAGAAATAGTCTCACCATCTGCGATCGTTCAAATGAAAGAGTGGTTCGATGGCCTCGTCGAAATGGAACACGTGGAGAAACGATTATCTTCAACATCGATTATTGGGATTTGACAATGAACGAGAATGGATCTCTCTATGTCACTGACTATGGAAAAAATGAAGTGAGACGATGTCGAAGAGGTGAATCTCAAGGTACAATGGTTGGCAGATGATAATGGAAGTGGAAACCGTCTTGATCAACTCTCTATCCCAGAATACGTACTCATCGATCGAGATCATTCAGTATACATGTCTGATTGGAGAAATCATCGTATGATGCAATGGATGGAAGGTGTAATACAAAGCATTGTTGCGGCTGGTGGTCAAGGAGAAGGAAATAGTCTTACACAATTGTCATGGCCTCAAGGGATCGTTGCCGATCAATTGATTCTGGTGGAAACGGTAGAGGAAGATAATCGAACCAACTGAATGTATTCACCGGTTTGTCATTCGATCGAGACGGCAATCTTTATGTTGTCGATAACGGATGTGGGTGTGAGTGTGGGTGCGGGTGTGTGGGATGTGGGGTGTGGGGTGTGAGTGTGGGTGTGGGTGGGTGTGGATGGGTGGATGTGGATGTGGGTGTCGGTGTCTTCATTTTACCCACGCCAACACCCACACCCACACCCATATCCACACCCACCCACATCCACACCCACACCCATATCCACACCCACCCACACCCACACCCACCCACACCCACACCCATATCCACACCCACCCACACCCACACTCACACCCACCCACACCCACACTCACACCCACCCACACCCACCCACACCCACCCACACCCACCCACACCCACACTCACCCACACCCACACCCACACCCACACCCACACCCACACCCACCAACACCCGCACCCACACCCACACCCACACCCGCACCCACAAACCATCTTGCTCAAGATTTACAGTTTTACCATTCGTTTGCATTTGGATTTAATATTCTTGGATGGTTACTCACATTATTACGATATTATGATTGGAAAAATGATAAACAAATTCCTCCCGAGAAAAAGACACAATAATACTTTCTTTTTTATAGTTTTTCTGAGATATAATTTTACTGGTTTTTTTTCTTACAGGCTGTTTATGTATGATTAATCAAGATAAGAATTAGTATCGATTTAGTATCTCAATATAGAAAAATTCTATTCTTTGGTCCTCAAGCTTCAAAGGCGTTGCTTTCACATCTCAGTGAATACAACAATTTTCTAGAATAACTATCAGAAGGAAATGTTGCTGCCATCTCTGTCTAAACGAATATACTTTCAAGTTCATTATTGTCTGTGGATCTATGCTGTGATCGAGTCTAGTTCGTTATCTAATGTTGATTTTCATACACTCATTTTTATCCTTGAGGAAATCTTCATTTCAAACTGATCTAAGAAGACAAATAGAAAGCTGAATATTGAGATAGATCAAGTGTCACTAACAAAAGGTTAATCGTGATCAGAATGTTGATAATTGATGATATTGATCGAGTTTGAATCAGACTCAACCGTAGTCTTAGCTGATAATTCTGACAAAGACTTTGTCCAGCTAATTTGACTTTCAATGTCAGTTTGGTTCATAGGTAAAAGTTCTGCTGGATGATCAAGATTGCTAATTGTTATTTCTATTGTTGTTTGGTCAACAGGTAAAAGTGCTAATGGAATACCACAATTTGAACAGAATAAATGATAACCTATTGATGAACTTTGAAATTTATCTGACATGCCTTTTGTCTATAAAATATCGTCGAATTTAAA